CTCTCACATGGACTCCTCCACGAAGCACAGCCGCAGCAAAGTCAAAAGGTTCTGGAGTTTGTTGTTGGCCGAATGAGGACAACACTCCCACGACATGAATATAACCTCCATGGCGAGTAGCCTTAATGCTTTTTTGTAAAGTTCCAACTCCACCGACCTCAATCACATGATCGACACCTCTTCCTGAAGTGAACTCTCGCACCTTCTCGTCCCAATTTGGATTTGTTTTGTAATAAATTGTAAAATCCACTCCAAATTCCTGGAAACTCTTTTCAATTTCTCATCACTCGAGGAGGTGACAATCACTCTCGCTCCAGCTGTCTTTGCAAATTGCAAAGCAAACATTGAAACACCTCCAGTTCCCAACACGAGAACCATCTGAGTGGCATCGACCTTATTTTCAATATTCTGAAACAATGCATGATAGGCAGTAAAAGCGGCGCATGGTAACGTCGATGCTTCTTCATAGGATAAGTAACTGGGAATTTTCACAAGACTATGCTTCTCAAAGATTCTCAATTGGGAAAGAACTCCCTCCGACGAAGCATCACCTGCGCCCAATGAATGACCTCTTTGTGGAGTGTCATGCTTTCCATCCATCCAGTCAGGATGAAACAAACCAGATACACGATCGCCAATGGAGAATTCCTTCACATCTTCACCAATGGCAACCACTTGACCAGAAGCGTCAGAGAGAGGAATGAATCCTTTGGGTCGGGAAATGTTTTCGATTGGAGAAGGATAGTGTCCATTAATGACCATCAAATCTCTAAAGTTCAAGGAGTAAGCTTTCAGTTGGACCAACACTTGGTTTCTGTTTGGTTGAGGAATGGGCTCGTCCTTGTGAAGGGTGAGTTGTTCGATACCTTCTTTCTTTGGCACAAGATATAATTGTTGAGTGGAGGGAAGGTGAGACATGGCAATGATGAAATTATTCAACAGTAAAGCTTTTGATTCTTGTTGTGTTGTTTTTTATGGAAACTTCGTGAATGAAGCACCAAGATTATAAAGTGCAGTTGTTGCGTAAGTGCAGAAAATATTTATGCGTGCGAATTGACTGAAATTCTGAAAGGGTATTCAACCTTCAAAGAAAGGACGGTATTTCCTTGCCAACTGTGGCGTCCCTTGCCAGGCTGTGAGAAAAAGCTATAAGAATTTTGGTATCATAGAACACAAACTAAAATTAATATTATTGTATTGTCATTAAGGAACAACTAATGTTGATAGATTTGTTCTCCTAACATAACGTCTCGATTAGCATGTGCATTCACCACACCTTTTTTTCATACTTGTGTCCACAGACTCCGTCAAATTTTTGCACTTCAATATCTTCTTCAACAGTGCATTGACAAGCCAATCGAATGTCCTGATTCAAATCGTGAGGAGGAAGTTTCAATCGAATCTCCTCTCCCAATGTTCTCTTCATGAGCTTTGTATTGGAGAGACCTCCATCCACATTGGATTTGACTTGAACTGCACAAGTTCCACACACACCTCTTCCACCACAATTAAAGGTCTGAGTGTTACCATTATAGAGAGGAATGTCGTTTTCGAGAAGAACTTGTCGCAAATTACTTCCAACAGGAACTTGAAGAGTTTTCAGACTTGTTTTGATGAGCACGGTTTTGAGTTGAGACATTTTTTCTATGCTGTGTTTGTTGAGGTCGTTTGTTCTCAATCTTGCATGGCTCCTTAAACTTTCCTCAATACAGCGGACCATTCAGACAGCCATCGACGCACACATCTGTAGTGAGGACAATTTCAAAAAATTTCAGCTCAGTTTCATAAAAGGCAATTCGGGAGAATGTTGCCTGTGCAGGATTACAAGGGTGAGACAACTTCTCTTGTGGTTGGAATGAGTTGTGGTTAGTGCATGATGGACATTGCCATCTGTTGCAAGGTGCATGAAAAGTTGATTCAGGTCCACTTGTGAATTCTTGAGATGAAGTTTCAAACTGTCTGTCATCACTTCTTCCACTTGATGACGCGAATACAAGTCACAGAATGCAACATTGAAATTCATCAATCCAAATCTCTGCTCCAAATAATGCCCAAGACATTTCAGCACCATTTCTTTCTGATCCAAACACGAAGGTGCAATTACTGAAATACTGTACACAAAATTTCGTTTTTTTCCAAACGAACTTGTTGAACCAATTCATCAAATCCTTTGAATCGATCATCCAATTCTTTCATCCATTCTAAGGCTGAGGAAGTGCTCATCTTCTTTGTTGCAGACAGTTGCAGATTTACAAAATCTCTGTTCAATAAAAGTACAAAAATAATTCCACTCAACTTGGCGACATTCAATGGTGCATATCGATCAAGCAACGGAGTGTAGTCCATTTCAAATGTAATGCATTCACCTTCAATCTCTCTTTCGCCATGAAAATACATGGGTGTGCATGGATCGTATTCCTCCGAAAAGTATTGATATATTAATTGATTACAAAATCCTTCTGCATACGTAAATCCACCCGATGAGGCAACTGCAAAGAGAATGGGTGATGATGATTTTGGATTTAAGGATTTGTTTGATCGTTCTTTAAGAAACCTTCCATGTAATTCATCGGGATGATTTGAAAAGTATTTCATTTTGAAAAACAAGTTCATGATCGATGGAGAGTAATGGTTCCTTTTCTTCTTCTTTGTTTTTTCATTCATGATGTTTGAGTGTGGATCATTTTCTGTCATTCCCATCACGACATGATTCGAATAATACTCATGGACCATAGTTGGATTTAATTCATCAAAATGTTCACAAAGAATGGACAACCAAATGTGATGATCATTTGAAATCATTTGATACAACGATCGGCATGTGAGAGAGAAGTGATAAATCGTTTGAGGACAATTTCGCAGGAAGGGAAGAATGAGCTGTGAAATGACATCTCGATTTGTGTGCATCAACAACAACAAGACCATTTTTATGATGGATCAAACATCATGAGAGAAGTGATAAAGAACATTGAATGATGACCTGTCATTGGATACTAGTATCATTCATTACCAAAGATTTCATAGATCCTTTTTCAAATTCAAAATTTGCATGTTGGAGCTGACAAAATATGATTCAGCATCCAAACTCTTTCAATTACTCCATTTTGGTTCTCATTCAAAATCACTTTTCATCCAAATTGTCAAATGTTATGCCTTCTTCTTCGTCGTGATCACGTCATTGAATTCTCTTGCAATGATCACACCAAAAAATGACACCACGTACCAGCCCCTCTTCTTTGACATCAAGCAGTAATAACCAAGAGAGTCGTAGTAATAGTGAACAAGATTCAATCAAACTCGAAGCATCTCCTTCAAAGGAGTCTGAATCGGACGATGTTGCAAGACGTGGTGTCCAAGAGAGAAAAGTTGATAGCAAGTTGTTGATAGCAAGACTACGCAATGAAGTAAGACCTTCAGTTCCTTTTCAATTCAAAAGTCTCTGGTTGGTGTTCTTGTTGTTAATATTCATCGTTTTAGGTTTGAGATTGTTGACATCTGACAGAGATTTTTTATATTGGAAACCAGAGTTGCATAAGTCGCTGTTGAAGAAAGCAAATCTTCCATTGAATGGTCAGGACCCACTCTTTAACATGACAAAAAGGACACTGGTTGCGTTCAAACCACTATTGGCAAAAATTGTACCTTCTTTCCACGATAACATTTTGCAAAATCAAAAATTCCAGAAATGGTTATTGAAATCCACTGGAAATGAAACATAATTGGTTCAAGATTTAATTGACATGTTGATTTATGGAGGGCGTGAAGTGCCGTGCGACTCTATTGATTCCGCTTTGAAAGTGTTATTTGTGTTAAACAGAGCTAAAGGTGATTTCATTCCTCTTAAAACTAAATGCTTGCAGTTCTTGAATCAGATACGATTCGAAAATATTTTGGACATTTTGAAAAGAACTCGATATCTCATTGAACGAGACCGCAAACTTCACGAAACTTCTAGTACGACCTCTTCTTTGAAAAACCAATCTAATGGTGTTCAACAGTTCACTCTTTTAGAAAAGGTCAAAGAATATTGTTTAGATTTTCTTGGAACAAGATCCAATGAACCAGGTTTTGCCAAGTTTGTAGAAAATGACATGAGAATGAATCCATATTACAAATTGGCCTTCAAGAGAAGATTTATTCGAGGTTGGAATGTTGATGAAAATGCAAATCAAGCATTTACACATCCTTTGCTTGCACTCTGGCAGAGCGAATGTGGAAGTGACATTAGAATTGGTCTCGGAGATGTAAAATTGTTGAATGTTCACAAGACAGTCCTGCTGAATTGTAATAACACATGTTTGAGTAGAATTGTTTCGGAACATGAAAATTCAACAGTTCTGAAAGAGGCTGAAGAGATGGAATATATCCTTCAATATTGCTATGGATTTTTGCAAAAGGTCCCTCCTCGGTTATTTATTCCACTCATTAAGAAAGCACATCAATGTGGAATGAATGATTTGATTCCAATCTTGCAATCTGAACTTCATTTAACAGTTGGAAGTTACTTCAAATGGTCCTATGAATTGAGAGAAGTCATGGAAAATGCAGAGGTGAGAAGGCAATTTGCAGAATTTGGAGTCAAGAATGGACAAAGCTTATTCACAGATGCTCAAAATTATGAAAATATCGATCGACTTCGATCTGAATTGAAGAACGACTTGATCGTCCATTTGGACGATTGATACTGTACCCAAAAGGAGGAGATAATCTGATCATCTCACCATTCGAATGGAAATCCGTTTCAAAATGCAACAATTCCCGCGCGTGCGGTCAAACCTGCCATGATCACAATTTTGATTCGACATTACGAAAGGGCACTTTCTGATTGTACATGCGGAGCGTACACATTTCCACCTTGTTATAATGCCTCAGAAAGCACCATGATGCAACAAACAGAAAAGAGCTACTACTACTCACACTGAATTGGAGGAAACAACTATCTCAAACGATCGGAAGCCAAGACCTTCTTCTAATCGTCGAGGCAAATACATTCTCATTGATACAGGTAAAACAGGAGATCATCTTAAACTTATTCAAAAGCTAGAACAAGTCCTCCAAATCACTCCCAACGATTTCGTGTTGATCACTCATTTTGATCATTCTGGTTCTTGTTGGTATCTCAAAAAGCATTATCCTCATGTACCAATTGCTGTACCTTATTTAGAGGCTGAACTAATTCGAAAGGCCATCTCTGCACCCTCCAAACCAACAGATCTGATGGGAAGATTCACAAAGAAAGTGCTTGGAGATCGGTTGGGTTGCATTCCTTTTGAACCCGATATGTTATTTAAGGGAGGAGAACAATTGGATGAATTCGGAGTGAAAGCACGAGTGGTGCATATGAGTGGACACACCTTTGGAGGACTTGTGGTTCTGATGGACAATAAGAAGGCTGCCATTCTGAACGATTTAATGGCAGGTTCTCTATTTGTATATGGACGTCCGAGATTTCACAACTTTATGCAAGATCGAGAGGCCATTGTTGCAAATATGAAAACTGTTTATGAAGAGGGTCATCAAGTGTTGATGGTGACTCATGGCTATGCGTTCACAAGAGAACGATTCGAAGAATGGCTAATGAAGGAATTAAAGAGGAACAAGTAAAATGTCATTAAATGTCATTAAATGTCATTCAGAATTATAATTGGTTGTATAACTTCAATGTGAATAAGAGTCTTTAATAGGACCTCGCTCAGTTTGAACATTAAAATTATTACATTTAAACCATTCAAGAAAGTTTCCTTTTTCTTGAACTTTCCCTAAAAGGAAATTATAGATTGACTTAAATACAGCTCACAACACACTTGCAAACAAAAACACAGACAAAGAAAAAACACCACAACAACAATGAAACATCAATAATCCCCATTCTTCCTCGAGTGTGTGACTCCATTTCTCCCTCACTCTGCACCCAAACAACCACTACTAACATTGCGAAGTGCACTTCCCAACACCCTCTCGAGAGAGCATTGAGCTCCAACACTCTCTGCAAGTCCGCTCCGAGTCTCCACTGGGAAGGAAAAGGACCATGATCTTTCTTCACATCCTTACAGGTAGAATGTGGAGAAGAAGCTGCTCCTCACACATGCATGTGCAATCCTTAGAGAGAAGGAAAGGACCACACCGTACACACCTCTCTCGTTTGCTGGGAAACCAATGACAGAGAAGATTCGTGGTAATCCAACTCGAAGCGAAGTGAGCAGCTTGGAATTTGGAGAGATTGAAATCCTCCTTGTTCAGATCAGTAGCAACGATCCTCTCACTCTCGTATATATACCAAGTTAGTAGTTGAAGTGCATGAGAAGGAAAAGGTGAAGAAAATAGATCCATCTTTAGAAGGGTGATGTGCCTGTGAAATTCTGGGATACTCAACTCCATCATCACCTCTGAGCTCTCCATGACCATTGGTTCTGCGTTTGGGTTTGATTGGATTCAGTTGGAATCTACAATTCGTAAAGGCCCCAACAGAATCAATAGATCCATTGTATGAAGATGGAAGCACCTTGAGGAATCCAATGGCGAAGAAGGCAGTGGTGTTTTTGTCCTAATTCCAATTTCCCTTCCAAAAGTTTCTCAGAAGGTCTCTCAGAAAGATGAATCGATCCATACCACCAGTCTAATGGGAATGAAAGGAAAAATTGTTGGATAAATGTATCCTTTCCAGTCACTGCCAAATCTCCTCAGTGCACTCACTCGATTACAGGAGAGTGACCACCAAGGTTGGAGAAGGTGAGTTCCCGAGCTCACCAACTAGGTTCCTATTCCCCCAACACACACATGCCTCATTCCTTTCTTTATGGAACATTAGGATCACCATCAAAGGAATGTTGGTGAGAAGTATGAACCGAGGAAGAAAATTGGATCATTAACTTGAGGGTTCACCCATATGCCATTAGAGAGTGAGATTCAACGTGGATCCGAGAGGAAATGGTTCGTCCCTGCGGTTTTGATTCATGACCACCCAATGTTTCATGAAATCAAAAGGATGAAGGTCAAGAGGAGAAGATTCCTTGTGCTTTTGAAGGATCCAAAGAGAAGAGGAACCATCGGTGTGTGTTTTGGGACTCAGAAGAACGGCCAAACCATCTCTCTCTGAACAAGAAATTTGGAGATTTGATCTTCCGAGAAAGAGAGTAGACAACGCTCGAGAGAGTGTGTGAGACTCAGAGTTGTGACAAAGAAAAGGAAGAAGAAGGAACACGATTTCAGAGATGAGAAGATGACATGAGAAAAGGGACCATGCAGTGCGCTGCTGAAAAGATTCCTGTTAAGGTAAGGCTCTCGAGAAGGACAATGTAAGGTGTATCGTGGGACACGGTCTTTTTGGACAGATTTCTACACATTGCTGCTTCTAGGAATGAAGAAACATTTGGAAGGTTGGTGCTTCTGAGGCATTGAATCAAAGAGATCAATAATGGAGCACCAAGCACCAGTCACAAAACTGGTGCGAAAGATAAGTATTTATTGGTTTTTTGAGTTTGATATCTGACACTTTACACTTATTGTGTGCATCCACTATTATTGATAATGATTACTAATCATTGATTAAATAAATTATTACTATTGACATTTCAACTTTGTACAATTTTTGATTGTGATTTTGTTTAGTTGTTGTTCATCTTTTCTTCAAGAACTTTCAATTTTGTCATGATCGATTGATACAACTCTCCATAATCTTGCCAATATTCAATGTTACATATCAAATCTGAACCGTTGGTCGTAACAAGTTTCTCCAAGCTGAAACCCTTTCTCACAAGTACAGTGTCACAATCTCTCAAATGTTTAAGAGGACAAAAATCATTCTTTCCGTCTCCGCAATAAATAAATATGACATTTTCGTTGTGTTCGCTGGATGGACCTAAATGGTGATTCACAATTTCAAGTACAATTTCTCCTTTACACATATTCGCAGGACAGGTCTGTAAAATACATTATATTGTTGATATCATTTCAAAATGGATTAATTTGGCACAAGTATGAATTCACAAAATCAGTAAATTAAAATTAGCATTAAAATAATCAACCCTAAGATTCATTTCTTGTGTTCATACCTTACAGTCGTGAGGCTTTCCATATGCAATTGAATATTCAGTAATATCAATAGTATTCTTTTCGTTGTCCATTTTAATCGTATTCGTATGAATATGAGTCACACAATCCTCAACTCCCTGCTTCCTTAATATCGTACCAATAAAATATTCGTTCGAATCGGAAATAATATTCACCTCGCATCCGTGCTTTTTGATTTCTTTCAAACACTCCATAGTCTTCTCACTCATCGGACATTGTTCCATTCTCTCAGTCAATTGTTCAATTCGGAAACGAGTTAATAGTTTTTCAAATATTCTTCTCATAGTTTCAGTCCATGAAACACCCGAATGTCGTAATTCCTTCATAAAGGAATGTAACTCGGGCATCAAACCCTCATAGATAAAGGTATCTGTATTCTCATCAACAAGAGTATGATCAAAATCAAACATAAACACGAGTTGTGGTTTTTTGAGAGTCGAGAATGATTCATTGCTATCATCGGTCATTGTTTCGGAGAGGGATGTTGTTGCTGTCATCACGGACGGAAATGTCTTCGTTATTTTTTATGCAAATTCAGAAAATGTCACGAATTTTGAAAACAACTAGTGTGGTTCACACCATTAAAAAAAATTCATGATGATCAATCACCCACAACTCACACCCAACGTTCAAGTGGACTCGTATTTTTATTTGTTTTCAAACAAACCAATATTCGAACTCATTTGTGGTTATTTGGATAGACAAAGCCGATGGTTGGCGTATGCCACTTGCAAAACAACTTACGCTTTCTCACTTTCCATCGAACAAGAATTTCTGAGACAACTATTATTGGAATGTTGTAAAGGGTTACCTATTCCGAAACATTTACCAGAAAAGCGTCCTCAATTTACATGTAAATTGACCTCTTCATCAAATATGAATCCTCAAGTAGTACTCAATACACCATCCAACACACCGACACATCCCGTTTGGGAATCTCTACTCTCTCTTGGAAAATAATCACCAAACAATTTACAACATATTACTGTTTTGTTGACTTTCTTTGCTTCTTTTGTTGTGGTGAGTAGTAGTATTCTGGATTAGCCGCAGCTGTTGGTTTGGCTTGCCGTTTTCCAATACCGAAAGAAGGTTCCGAAGTGTTTGGTTTGTTTGTTTTCTTCTTTGTTGGCTGTTGAACTTTTTTAAATGATGCTTGAGGCTTGCGAATTGGATCTTTCATTATCAGAACTGCTCTCAGATCCTTCGTTATCAGAATCACTTTCTTGTAGATTTCTTGGAAGTTCATTATCCGAGCCGCTTTCTGATCCTTCATCACCGACTTGTACTGGATTAGAATTATGTGAATATTCTAGAATTTCACGAGTTGATAGTGTCATTAATTCAGTGTCACTCATTGTCAACATTTTAGCAATAAGGTTACATTGAGCTTTTCTTTTTTCCTCTGCATATTCTTTTTGACGGACAACATTAACAGAGGGTCTTAATAATTTTGGCTTTTCTATAGGAAAATCAAAGTCTGAACGCATCCATTCCTTGTGGTGATCTAATACTTGAATATTATATTTTTCTACGAATCTATGAATGTCAAACAACACAAATGCAATTTTAAATTCCACACATTTTCCAAATCTCCACTCATTTTAGCAACTGAATGAGGATTGAAAAATTTGAATTTCTCACCAATATGAGAGAATAATGTTTCAATCATACCACGAAAAGCACCAAATTCTTCATTATATTGTGCTTCACTGTATGTTAGATCTTGATTTCTTGGTTTTCTAATTGGAGTTCTGAAATTTGACTCATCAAGATCATATCCTTTTTCTTGCAATTTTTCAATATAATCAGGAATTCCCAAGAAATAACCACCATCAAAATACAATACATCCACACTAGGATCTAATAGTTTTGAAATTCTCTCCATTTGCTTGAACATACCAATGTCTGTATTAGGAGCACATGGTAGGGATTTCGAAATAGCAATTGCTAATTCTTGATTATCCATCAATACTTGAGTTCTTAATCCAGAATCTTTATATTTGTAACTCCAATACTCCCTTTTAGGATATTTGGCTAAATTACTATATTCAATACGTGTATCATGACCATCTAAAAAAGTGGTTCCATCCTTGAAGCCTTTTTCGTTTTCAATTATACCAGTAAGACATCGAATAATAGGATTTGAAAACATTCTTTGCAAACAAGTGTCAGCCAATTATTAAGTTGGTCATGAAATTCAACGAAAATTGTGTGATGAATTCTCCATATTGTAGACCTTGCGATAATTCTCCTCTCATTTAAGGATCCGAATGTTTCATTTTCAAGTAACATGTAAAGAATTAATAAGATTTTGCCCACATTACGATAAGGACCTTCTAACCATCCACAGATAGTACCAACAGTATGTAAGAAGATGAATGTAGCAACATATCCAATTCTTTGGCAGACTATTTCTTTAATTCTATTCATTGTAGGAATATCCTTGATATCCTTTCTACCTTTTGATTTCTGAATAATTGGCAGCTCTTCATGCAATACCTTCCATTCATTGGCCACCAATTTTTTGACCTCGATTTCCCTCAATCTCACAGCGTCTTCTTTGCTGATATCGAGAGACATTTTTTTCAATTCAAAATTTTATTTGAAACTCCCAAGCTAAGTTGAAAAGAAGCTGATTTGGAATGTTTCGGATTCTTTGAAACGTGCCAAAATCTTTGAAACGCCCCTGAATCTTTGAAACCACCCAATACCTTTGAAACATCCCAAGCTTAAAGGAATGTTTTAATTTTTATGAATTTTGGAACCACTAATGAAACAAGGAACATGCTTTGGAATTTGGAATGACTAATGGGACTGAACCGAGCTTCATTATGAACATGCTTTTTTTTGATTCCTATGACATGAAAGAATCTGTTGCGAGAGAAGAATCTAGATGGCGTTTGTTGTGTGGAGGTACTTATTCTCTTCCCAATATTTGTTATGCCTTGATGAAATACAGATTCAGACAAGTCCATTCAGATACTACTAGTTTCGATGTTGTGATGTTGCTTGGCAGAGGTTGGTCCAGATGGAGGAGAGCATGGGAGGAGATAAATTTTGACTGCAGTCATAAAAATTGAATAAAACAAATGTTGTTGTGTGTTCAAGCTCTCTATTATCTACATAAGTGACTCACGAAAAAAACCAGTGGCTGCATGTATTATGCAGTGCGCAATCCTGAAACGACGTCATTCCACTCGAAAATCATATCCTTTCCTCGGTTCCCCTACAAACATCATGCTTACTTTGTCGCGTCACACATGATTGAGGTATGTTAGTTTCTTTGTCTTGTTGGTCCATCTCTCAAAAATAACACACTCGTATTATTAAGGCACTTCTATGCTCAACCACATTAGATAACGCAGCGATCATCCTTATTTATCATCCTCATTGGAACCTTGAATGAGATACAATCAGACACTAAGGGTAAATGGCGATCCTAAAGGAATAGAAATTATATGCATGGATCAATTTAGTAGGAATTCCAAACGAACATAATTTGTTAGATGTGGAAACGACTTTGATTTTGCAACCATGCGCATCGTGAAATTCAATGAACCTTATATAATTTCGCAACCAACGACACGATGAATAAGGACGAGGACTTTGTCGTTACAAATAATTACTCCCGATTGATCACAACTCCACCAACTAAGGAAATAGAATACGAAAAATTTATTCCACGATCTGACTACTTATGATGACAAATTTAATAAAGACACGGCATACAGTGCTGCTGTGATGTTATTAGCATGAAGTAGAAGAACGACAAAGGTTCATTTACGAAAGATCCATGCAATTACCATTGTCTTTTGATCCAGGACAAGGAATAGGTCCTTTTGACACACTGAATTTAGGGCCACCCTGCTGCAGAACAATGTTCTTTGCGAGCGAATTGTAAGCAAAAATCTATTAACCTCCCAAAACCAAGTGAATGTCTTTGTATTGTTCATTGACAATTACAAGTTATTGGTTCTTGTTATTGATTAGTTTTTCAAAGTGTTGAATTTGTTCATTCTGTAAAGCAGAGGTCTGAGAAATTCTTTTGGAAAGTCTTTCAATTCGACCTCCCAACGACATGTTGACCTCCAACGTGTTGGTGGGACAATAGGAGAGCAAAAACAGTGTGTGCGAGGAGGGACATAACCGTAAATCTTGTTCTGTACTTAATGAGGAAGAAGGAGAAAGTGGAGAGACGATGGGATCTCCCTTTTCATTGAAAATGGCACAATATGATTCAAAATAGTGAATGAATTGGTTCATGAATACTTCAGTGTCTTGAATTTCCTTAAAAGTCATTGGATCTTTATGAATATCATAGAAATGTTTCATTTTGAACGGGTCGTAGAGGTTTGAATGGATGGTGTTTGAATACGTTTGTTTTTTGTTTTGAAATTGGTGAGAAGGATATTTGCCATTTACTTCTTAAAGTTTGATGTGGAGCCATCACATCAATTGTTCCACAAATTTGGAACTGACTTCACATCAAAACATGCGAATGAAGGGATAATTGATGTCTATCATTCCTTCACGATTTTTGAACCACAGTGATCATCATTTATACACGGGTTGCATAGAGACTCAATGAGAATATAAACAGAGTGTCTGTTCACGAAAGGACCAAATTCATGTGAACGCGCCAAAAGTTTCCGTTAAAACAATTTCAAAAAAAAAAATGAACACATCGCTGCAATTTTCTGCTCCCAAGCAATATCTTGCCAATCAGGTGCCCACATTTGTGCCTTGCAAGTATGTTTCTTTTTCTTATCAAGAAATGTATCAACATTTGAATCTTTCTTATTGCGATCTTCATTCCGATCATTCTCTTTTAATGATGATAGACAAGCACAATTGAAAGTACCAGATATTCCTCATCTTCAAGTATTTATTCGTGTCCGAGATGATGGAGAATTAGATTTTGATAGCGAGGTCATGAAGAAAGTAACATGTCTTGAACCAAGAATCTCTCAAAAAGAAGTCTTTGAAAGAACCACTCTTTCTGTCTTTCATTCCTTCTTTAGAGGTCTGAGTGTTCTCGTATTTAGTATAGGAGCTACGGGAACGGGTAAAACCTATACGATGATTGGTGGAAAACCAGAGGATCAAACCATGATGTTGTTTTCAAATAAGAATCATCATCCTCATGATAAAAGACATCCCGCAATGATGACTCCCAACAACGTAGATGATCTTTCATTGGATGGAGAAAATCGTGGAATCATTCCGAGAGCCTTTGAAGAAATATTTACACAAATTGCACAACGAAAGGAAGATAATCTAATGGTAACTGCCAGTTTTGTGGAATTGTATTTGGACAATGCCTATGATCTCGTGAATGATTTCTCCGTAGCAGAAAGTATGTCTTACAAGAGTGGACGAGATAGTACAATGTCTATTAGTAGTTTTAAATCTTCATCGAGTTCTCATTCACAACTCTCAAAAGAACAAGCAAAACAATCACTTTCTATTAAGGGTGGTACCAATGAGAATGGTTTCTTTGTGAGCGGAGCGAAAGAAGTGGAAATTTGCAATGCAACAGAAGGAAAGGCACTCGTTCGACATGGAATCCAAAAACGAAGGACAAGAGGTCACAAACTGAATCAAGAATCATCTCGGTCACACGCCATCCTCACCATTAAGCTCTATGAAAAACAAGAAGAGAATGGAACAATCAAGAAGACTGAAATTAGCCGAATGATGATTGCAGATCTTGCTGGTAATGAAAGACTCAATGAAACTGAAATGTCTGATGCATCAGGAAAACAAGAATCGATCAAGATCAATTCTGAACTTTCCACATTTGCTCGATGTATTGCTTCGATGGCAAAAACAGGAACTCCAATTTCTGCTCGTGAAACTAATTTAACAAAACTCTTGTTGGGAAAGACTGTGAAAGAAACGAAGGTGGTCTCCATTCTAACCTATTCTCCTCTTCGTCCAGACACCAGTACAAAAGATTTTGCCAAGAATGTCTTTAGTATTTCGAAACCATCGGCAGATGTACAAAGTACTCTGAATACATCTTTGGTGTTATCCTCCTCTAGTTCACAGCCGTCAAAAGATGATACAGAGCTTTTAAAACTCTACACAGAAATGTTAGAAGCATTGAAAGACGTGACGATGGAAAGGCAAACAAATGAACTCAACATTAGACAAGAAGTACTTAATCTTGTTTGTGAGTCTGTGAATAGTCTTAATTCTTCTCTGAATGAGGAATCTGAAATCAAGATAAAAGAAATGAAAGACAAACTCGATATGACAAGACAACATATGGCCAGTTATGTGAATAGGATGCAACAACAATATGAAACAAAATTGAGAGAATGCCAAAAGGCATACAGAGATCTTGCAAAAACGACCAGTACTATTCGAAATAATTATTTGGATAAATCAGAGAAAATTGCACTCCTTCAAACCAATATACGAGATTTAGAAGAAAGGAATGAGAGAATGGAACAATTGCATAAACATTTGGAAGAACAACACGAGCAATTGAAACAACAATATGAAAATGAAAGCTTGATCACTGAACGACTAAAGAGTGAATTAGCGAGTCAAAGTGAACAATTTAAATTAGAATTAGAACAACAAAAGCAACATTATGAGAAAATTCTTGCTACCAAAACTCAAGAATATGAATCTGAGAAGAAGGGACTTTTAGACAAACATGAAAATGAAATTCAAAAGTACATGACGAGAATTACCAAACTGAAAACAAAGGTTGAGGAAAAAGAGGCCTATGTAAAACAAGCGGTACAACTGATGAAACAATTTGAACAAGCAAAAGAAGAAGAAGAGCTTCAACGAGCAAAGGAAGAAGAGGAACTTCAACGAGCAAATGAAGCACCTGAAAAGGCGTCACTTTCATCATCGTTTTTCGGAAAGGTTAAATCCTTTTTTTCATCAACATCCAAATCAGAAGATAAGATGGATGCTACACCCAGACCTGATCTTTCTGTTTGTACAAATGAGCAAGAGATTTTCGATAATTACACAGTCAATGAATTGAAGGTCTACTGTCGAGAGAACAATATTGAGACCAAAAAACAAGCCAAGAAGAAGGACTTTGTTAAGAGTATTGCAAGAACCAACAAAGCTCGTAGAGACATTGAGGTTGTAGATCTCACCGATGAAGAGGAATCGAATCAACGAAAGAGAAAGTATGACCTCAGGGATGATGTTATGGTGGATGAATCTCCTTCTAAGAAAAATAAGATGGAAGACGACGAAGAAGAAGTGGTGGTGAAAAAGAAAACATCTACCAGACAACGAAAAAAGAAATAATTCTCTTGTAAATATAACTTTGCACAACATGTGCATCATTGTGTTTAATCATTTACTTGTGATTCACACAGTTCAGTAACACATCGAAAATGGAAAATGGGCCTTCATGTCTGGATGGCTCTTCATCTCGAATAAGGTAGCATGGAAAATCAAAGTCAAACACTTGACTCAATGATTGGCCTCCAAAGCAATACTCTCTAATCAGCCTCTTCTTTCTGTGTTCTTGTTTTGACAAGATCACCTGATTCAATTTGGAAAGAACATGAGTGTGAAAGGTTTTTTCACATTCTGATAATTTGACAACCAATAATCCTTCATTACAGTCTCCTATAATCATGCTATCCTTGTTGGTCTTTAAAAACTTGTATTTTGATCTCTCTTTTTCAATCAAATCGATGACATCAAAGAACAAGTCAGAAAGTCCCAACTTGGTATGTGAAAATAAATAATTAGGTTTGAAATTGATACTAAGTCATGATGAGTTCACACAACCTTTCATAAATATTACGAGACTTACTATTTACAAAAGAAAATAATATTCTCAGAAAGCGTAAAATCTCTATACTTGTAGTCGGTTCGTGTGTATATCCTTGAATTTTGAGAACGTTGAGACTTTTTCACAGCTGACACTAATGTCAATTCTGAACTACCATTTGGAGTGGTCAATCTCTTTGTTGCACTTCTTTTGATGTCACTCATCGGTGTCTTACTCAAACAATAATCTTGAGAAAGTGAAGGACTTGTACTTTTTTGACTTGATGAGGAAATGACATCTCCTTCTGTTAATATTAAATTTGGTAAAATAATTTCCGCATGTAACTCGGTCTGTAAATGTTCAATCACTTTTGAAATTTGTTGTTTCTTTTCAGATTGTCTTGTTGTTCGTTTGGAAATGGTTGATGTACTGACAGTTGACACTTGACTCACATTCTCTTGTTCAAATAACCAATTAAAGTCTAAATCTGTAGCTTCGCTGGAGGTATCACTTAATGCAGGAGAAGCGTTAAAATGTGTTTCCAAAGGTTTGCTTACTATTGCTCTCCTCTGTGGTGTTGACCACACGTGACGCAAAGACGACGACGATTCCTTATTTGAATTCAATGTCAATAAGGAATGATCAGTTTCATGATTCTTCTTCATTTCTTCCGATTGATCGAGTTCTATTTCCAGAGGAGAAAGTGTCACAATTTGATAAGAATCATTCTGATCCATTTGTTTTGCTTCTTCATGTTGAGAACAAGACGAGAAGGGTGTTGAAAATAATCTATCGATGGATTGATCATTTCCACAACCCATCATGACATCTTCACACGATCGATTGTGAGTTTGATCATTCAAGTAAGGTAATTCTCTTTGAGGAGTTTGAGAAGTGGAATTTTTTCTTGTTGTTGTCAATGATTGAAATGGTGATGAAAATGTTTCATTTGGATCAAATTTCGAGAGAATGGGAGAGTGTGAAGAATCGTCGATATTTGTTCTTTCTTTGATAGAGTCATCCTTGTGTGATGAATGGTTGTGATCATCAATTCTCTTTTTGTGAATATTAGACTTGTGAATTGGATTGTGACAATTTTCACAGTAAGAAGGAGGATGATCCTTTTGGGAAATATAATGAGAAGGAAGAGGAGTTTGTTGATGTTTGTACAATTCTTGCTCCAATAGGAAACATCTCTCTAATAAAATCTTAATTTTTTCTTCATATTCCTTTTCAATGCATTGAAAGAGCGAGAGAAGAGTTTGATTTGTTTCTTGTTCGATTTGTTTTTTTGATGTTTCTGTGATCTTCGAGGATCGTCCTTTCGTGTGATGAGTTGGTGGTTGTGGTTGATGGAAAGTTGTCGAATTGTTGTTGTGGTCGTCACCATCATTTTCATGATGAATTTTCCGTTTCTTGTTCTTCTTTTTTGGTGTTGATGATGATGCTTCTTCTTGCAAATCGGGAATGAATAATTGTTGTGAGAGAATTTGACGAGCTTTTTTGGAGCTGGATCTTTGACTTCTTCGTTGACAAGACACAAGAGAAGAGGTTTGTGGTTTGGCTTGAGCATGGTAATCCTTGGATGATGATTGTGACCACAGGAACGAAGAGCAAGTCGATCGTCGGGTCACCTTCATCATGGCAATGCTGTCTGTACCTCTCGAGGTTAGTTGTTGGAGGGTAATTTTTTATTGGTTGATGATTGGCGCAAAGCCTGAAGGTTTCAAAAAAGGGCGGGAGCGCTGAGACCGATGATCGTTCGAAGGTCTAAAATTTCACAGGTCTAAAGTCAATTTGGGTGGTTGAAAGAAGAGGGTTCTTTTCAGTGCCAAGCTCTACGGAACTCTTTCTCATGAATTCTGTGGTTGCATCACGTCGATTTCGTTCTTGTTTTGCTTTCTCAATGCTGTGCTGGATAGAATTGGCAGATTCATGAATGTAATTCTTGTAGGTAGTCGCGTACTTGTCTTTCATGTCATCTTCGGTGTCGTAACCCATGACAACCTGACTTGAATTTCTTGAAAATTCGACTGTGTATCGCAAATCCTTATTTTCTTTCATTCCAAAATGTCTTCTGAATTCTGTTTCTTGGGAGATAGGTTGGTCATGATTTGATGTGTAGTGACACTTTCTCATGTCTTCGATAATTCGTTGTGCCTCTTTTGCAACCTCGTTTTTAATGTCAGTAATCGTGGTTGTAGATTCTTGTTTTAGGGAAGAGCCGGCAATAACAGTTGATTTTTCCATCGTTGGTCTACTTCTAGGAATTTCCTCTTTTCCAAGCTCCTTATTTTTTGACATTTGTGCTTCTGGAGAGATGTAGTCGTTTCTAGCAATTGTTGTTAAGCATTGTTTCCAATCTTCTGGAATGTGTCTGATAATGGATGACATTCCTCTGTTATAACCTTCTCCGCTTGATACAATATCTTTCTTATTCTGGGCAAATAGCTCTTCCGAAGGACGTTGATAACTCTCTTGTTTGTGTGACTTTAAATATGTTTTACGATCGTCATAGCCCACTTCAAAATGCACTCCCCTCAAATCATGCAAATATTTGTCTGTATTTTCTCTTTCCTTATCAATTTGCAATTTTCTATCCATTGCTGTTTCCAAAAGCATGGTTCCGACTTTATCAAAATCATCTCCTTTAGTCGTGTCATAGGAGGATTTTGTTCTTTCAGGCTCTCCGATACAGACCGAGCTTGCATAGAGAGCTGTTTTTAAATGTTCTTGATTGGAAGGAAAGGTCGCTTGTCTTGTCGAAGAATCAATAATGTTTTCAGGCCGTAGCTTATGCGGCACGTATTTGGTACTAAGGGTAGACATATTTTCTCAATGATAGTATTATACAGGATCTACAGTGTGTTTTGTCGATGATGATGAATCACAATTTTTCAAAAATTAATGTCTCTCTATATTGGCGGAAAAGTTTACAGTTGAGTCTTTTTTTTGATAACGTTTTTCAACGTTCTCTCTTTGAAACTGAAATGGAGTGAGAAGGTTGCTGTGCGATCATCATCTCGTTTATTAGTTCTTCTAGGTGCGTGGTCCAAGGTGGATGATGATGTCTTCTTTGGCCGTGGTTGCTGTGCCTAATCTACACCACGAGCACCAACAAGTCAATGATGAAAGAAGACTTCTTTTGAAAAATTTGGAGAAGGAAAGGATCATCACTATCGGATGTTATCTCGACCCAATCATTGAATCTGCAATGTCTAAATATCTTGCAAGATATTAGACATTGCAGATTATTGATGATGTTGTTGCTGTTGTTGTTGTTTTTTCAATGTAAAAACTACAGCATCTTGTTTAGCATTTGCTAAAAACAAATACATATTATCGCAGGCATTTTCAAACAATTCATATTGCTTTTTCAATTCTTCAATGTTTTGATCTTGGTTGATGTTTGGATTGGTTGACTCTTTTGCAATTTTAGCTACAGCCTTCATTATCATCGAATAACGAACATCCAAATTTTCAACATGACCAGAAAAATTCGTCGGAACAACAATTGATGAAGAGCCGTCGGTTGTTGTGGAAGAAGAACTTGAAGACATGATGCATCAGAAAATAAATCTCACTTGACGAGAACAATTATTATAAATATATTTACAAAACGATCCAAATTCCAATATAGAACTTGATGGTGACGATCAAAAATAATATGACAACAACTTTGGATTCAAAGAGTGACACTCTAATGGGGTTTCTTTCTATACGGGCCTCCTAATCACTGAAAGCCTTTGTGTTGGTTTTTGAATATTTTTTACAAAAGAAATTCGAAAAAACAAAATTGATTGAACAAAAAAATGTCGGAACCAACAAACGAACCTTTTGAGCAAGAACAACAAACCAACAACATTTCGTCTTCGGATGATATTGTTCACAACACTGATGAAGATTCACAACATCATCAACATGTAGACTCTGCAGAGGTTAATATGACTACAGCGCCAATTGAAGACACCAACAAAACTGAGAGTAATGTAGCTGATGATGATGACAATGCCACTCATCAAGCCAAGTTGGAGTCCTCTTCAGATGTAGATGTTGTGGAAAAGATGGATGAGAAAGAAGGCGGAGTACAATCTTCATCGATAGAAAGTATTAATTCTGAGCATCCTCATCATCAAGAAAATAGTGCAACTCCATCAAGCACAGAAAATACTACAAATTCTCTTGAATCATCATCATCAAACGAGGAGCAACCACAACACCATTCAGTTACCAACACAACTATCACTGAGAATGAGCAACCACAACATGAACCTTTAACGCTCATCACCACAGTCATTCACGAACAAGTAACGACAACTACCCCTTCTGCACAGATTGCAGAACCACAAGCAACAGGAGAGAAAAACATTCAAGATGAAGGTCATATCGATGAGCTTTTAGAATCTGTTCTTGGAGATACATTTGGAAAAATCATTGCTTCCACCTCTGAGAAGAAGGAGAGCGAAGAGGAAGAAGAAATTGAAGAATTACAAACGGCAGGCTCTCTAGCAAACAAACAGCCAGGAGGAGCTGCTGCGATTCATCTTGATGACGACGAAGACGAAGAAGGTGAACCAAACGAAGCAGATTTGATTAATATTCTGAAACAACTGAGTGGAAATGCTCATGAAGACGAGGATGAGCATCATGCCCATCCTCTTAATGGCCAAACAACAACTATCGACGAGGATGACGAATTCGAAGATATGAACGAAGAAGAAGAGGCAGCCATAAAGATGGGAGAAAACTTGACAAGCATGTTTGGAAAAGCCCGTGCAACCTCCGATCATCACCATTCAGGATCTTCTGAACCAGGCGTTGGCTGGACTGTGGCTGAATACGCCCTAACAGCTGCTGCAGTATTCGGAATTGGATACTTCTTGAATAAGGTCGTTGATTAGGCCTCTCAACATTCCAGCAATCGCTAAACAAAAAAATGCAAAACGATAAACTTGCTTTAGAAGTTCAAAAAATTGCTCTCGACTTCTTTTTATTCGGGAAAGAGCCTCCCGTCATTGAAAAGAAAGAGATCCAACCTTCCATTACAAATTCATCTCCCAATATATCATCATCATCAGCTTCATCAAACTCTCAGTCTTCCTCCTTTGAAAATATTGAATTTAAAATTCCAAAAAGTAAAAGTAAATTTGATGGATCTTCAAAGCCTAAACAAATATCAGATTCCGATAAAAAGACAGAAACATCACAGATACCTGCTCGATTCAATAATAATGAAGAACCCAAGAGCTCTACTGGAAATGCATCATCTTCGGCCAAGAAAGGATCATTAGAGGAGTCCTCACAATTAGAAGTAAACACTTTCCGATCTTTCAAACAAAAAACATCTCGCTTTATTAATATTGAAGCTGGTGAAGTGGATGAATCAGCCGTAAGTACTTGATATTTCAAAAGGTTGAATTTAATAATGAGTATTAATTAATTTATTTCAGAGACAACAATTCGGTGAAATATTCTCTCAGCAAAGTTTTGGTTCACCTGCTTTTTCTTCTTCTGTTATGGACATAAATTTTGTAAGTGATAAATTAATTCAAGTTGTTGTTTACTTATTTTCAATTTTCGTACACAGAGCGACGACGAATAATGCAGATCTCTCAATTTTATTGAGGAATGTTGATCGAGTTTGGAATTCAATTTTCAATTCTAAAAATAGGTCTTGGAACAGATTTTACACACATTTTAAATTCTTCGTACACCTTCAAATTATTTCTGAATTGAAAAAGAATGAACAACAGCAATGAAGAGAATCCATTGAAGCGGTCCCATACCGAGGTAGAGAAGTACCAGAAGAGAATAAGACGAATTTTGTGTCCTCTAACAGATTTACTCATAATCTGGTGAACTACAAGGTTAGGACATTCTTCATGGAGACAAAATGAAGAGCACTGTTGTTCATGAATTTGTATTATTATTGTAAATAAAAATTCGAATTAATTAATTTCAATTGATTGATCAATTTCAATTTTATTCTTATCCACAAAAAAATGTCCTACAGCAACAAACACCCTCAATTTTCGGGTCATGATGATCGTATGTTTCGAAAATATGATAGTTGGGATGAAGGAGCACCAACCGAGCATCCCAAGAGAAAGAAAGAGTATCATCCTCGCCCATACCATACCGGCTATACTCATAGTCAACAGTATGGCCATAATAGATATTCTCATCATGGCAATAACAGCAATTTTGATGCATCATCCTCTTCAACATCATCGTCCATTATGAGTAGAGATGATAACGTCTCGGAACATTCTGATCATTCATTGAGCAGAATCGAAATACCACAGCAACAACAACATTATTCTGGATTCAACAAGCCTAGTAATTATTTTCCAAGTTCTTCCCACTATTCCCACACTCCCCATCATAGAAGTTATAACATGACCAACTATAATGTTCAAGATGATCAAGAGTTGAGAGCAAGAACAATTTACATTTCAATGCTCCCCAGCAGTGCTACTGAACAAGATATTAAAGATTTATTGAACCAAAATAATTTAACAAACTATAGCGAAGTGAGTATGAAAAACCAACCAAAAGGAGTTGCGTACGTCATTTTTAATGATATTGCTTCTGTTACACCTTCTTTAGCTCTAACTGGAAGTTACGTGAAAGGATTTCCAATTGTTGTGAAACAAGCTGAGGAAAAAAAGAGAAAGCGAGAACAATTGGAATCCGTTGATACAAGTGAAAATCAAGACATTCAACAAGGACATTGTAAAGTATATGTTGGTAATGTACCTCCCATTTTTACTAGATCCGATTTGTTTAAATTATTTGGAGCCTTTGGTTTTATTGAAAAGCTGGATATGAAAAAAGATGAAAATGGAGCATTTAATGGCACTGTACTCATGACATTCCAAAAATTCGACGGAGCCAAAAGGGCCGTTCTCAAAATGAATGGATTTTCTTTTTCTCCTAAATATATATTGAGGGTTGGATTTTATAATGAGCCAGAGTCAGAATCAAAGAAACCACAAACACAAGAGCAAGAAGATACTGAAGAAGGTATTCAAGAGTCAAGTCACAATGAAAGACCTACAGCAACAAACACATTCGCCGAACGATTTATCACATTACGCTCTGCAGAGGTAAAAGGAACTGCTTCACAAAATCTCTCCTTCTCGCACATGTTTGATCCTACAACGTAAGTAGTAGATTCTGTGATTTCTATTCATAACTCAGCTATTATTTAACTAACTCATACACAGTGACCAATTGAAAGTGGTCGAGGACAACATTAGAAAAGCATGTAAAAGTTTTGGAAACATTGTCCATATCTTTGTTGATGGCCAAGATCCAAATGGAATGATATTTCTTCGTTTTGATAACATTATTGGATCACAAAATGCAGCTCAAAGATTGCCTTCCCTTCGCACCTCATGGACAGGATCAAGTAACAAACTTCCTCTTCCAAGCGTCACCTACTTGAGCGACTCTCAATACATGACCATGTTCAACCTGAGATGAAAACTTTGGTCATTCGTACGTATTTAGTCATTCCTAATAATTTATAAGTTTTAAAGAATTAAATGATGAATTTGATGATTTTACAACACTGGTGTAAGTTGACAATTTTGACAAAGATGTATTCATTTGCCACTCGTGTGTGTGTCGAGAATTCAATGGATAACGGATTTGATGTTGTGAGAAGTTTTTTGCGCCAAAAATTAAATCTGTAGCTTCTCGCGCCATCAAATCCGTTAATCATTGAATTAAGACCAAAAAAAAATGAATGATATCTTCAACTCGTTTCATTTGAGTCCAAAAGATGACTCGAGCAGTCCTGCTTCAGTGATGCAACAACAACAACAACAAGGATCTCCAACAATAACATCACTTCATACTTGTAGTCCAATCGGAAGTAAGAGCAGCGGAAGCACCAAGGCATCACAACTTAAGAGTTATTTTTCAAGCAGCAATCATGGGGCTGCCTCTACTGACATTAGTCCATATTCATCCAATGACGGAACAGAGAATGACCATCCTCTTCAAAACACAGATCAACTGGCATCATTTCTGGAAGATGATAGCAATTTAGATCCCACTGTACAAAAAACAAAGGCTGATATTTCCACTTTGGATGAATCCTTATTCTCCTTTATTAGCAATCCAGAAAACTTTTCTGAACCCAAACCTCAAGAACACTCTCTAATGTATACAGTAGAACCTTCTCCTATAGTGCAGCCTTCCTCACGACATTCCTCTCATAAAAACTCTGTACAAAACGATACGGATATGCTTCAGAGTTTTATCACTACGTGCGAAAGTTTGACTCAGTATTTGGATGGAGATTCATTAGGAAGCATTGAGGACTTTTTTGTTGGATCTTGCTATGATATTTCAAAGTTGGACGTGGAGGAAATGGTCAAGATATTCCAAGATACATATGGAACGAGCAATCTTGAGTCGAAAAGAAGATTTTCGAACATGGTTTGCACAAAAATAATGCCACTAGTGGATGAGGTTGTTCAAAACAACGAGCAGTTCATAGAGGAAACCATTAAGAAAGAGGTATGTTTTTATTAAGCATGATTTTCAAAATTCTTCAATATTTCATAGATCCAAAAAGACACAGGCGGAAACAACCAAAAATTATTGCATCTTCTGATGATATTTGCTGCCCTTCAGAGTAAATCTATTAAAGCACATAAGAAGCAAATAGAAATGATTAAGAATGACGAAGTTGCAACAACAGCCAAGGCCCTAGCAGATCATGCAAAGAAGATCAAAGAGTTTGTTTGTACAATCCAAACAAAGGATCAAATAATAGAAAAAATTTCAAAAGACAATGTAAGTAGCCACTTGTTTTTCAAATTATACATACTCTTGATGTGATATTCAGGAAAATCTGTTGGCCGAATTGAATGCTGGTTGTCAAGAAATTGAAACCCTTGGAAGAAAGGTGAAGAATCTAAAAAATTACAACAAAGATTTTGAACAAAATCTGGAGCAGAAACAACAAGAAATTGAAACCGTGAGGCGGGATATGTTTGCCTTAAAATCAGAGTTGCTAGAACGCGTTGAAAGGATGTCTCTTCAACATCAAAGTGAGATTAAACAGATGAGCATGATGATATCTTTAGAAAGCAAAAATGCAGATAATGCTGCGGTTGAGGAATATAAAAAAGAGGTGAAGCGGCTTGAGCTCATGCTGTTAAAGAAAGAAAAACAGATTGAAAGTCAGATCGAAAGAGAAATAGAACTAAAGAACACAATGCGAGAAATGCATGAGCGCTACACGGAAGCAGTTTCAAAGGTGAATGAAATTTCGAAACCAAGAGAAGTACCTCTTCAAGATCAACATGTCTCGTCTCTCAATTTAACAACAGAGCTTTCTGAAGCCTTGAAAGAGATGCGAGGCATTAAAGATCATTTTTCTTCGCTTTTGGAGAAGGCCGTGGCTGTACAACAAAGCACAGTTGACTCACAATCCATCGTTACTAAGAAAGAGCTTGATGAGTTACGAAGAAAACTTGAGATGTATCAAATAGAGCTTTCTTTGGATCCAGATGGAAGCAAGGAAGAAATGAAAGAGCTCAAATCAAGCTTGGAAAGAGTGAAGGCACAAAAGGATATGCTTTGTGAGGAAATTAAGAATTTAAACCAAGAGTTAGCAACTCTTAGAGTTATTTCACAAGAGAGATCGTTTGAAAAGCAAAGATATGAAACAAAAATTGCAGAACTTGTCGAAAATCAGAAAGCACGAGAAGAAAAATACAAAAAATTGAAGAAGCAATTATTCAAAATGAAGAATAAGGAATACCATTTTGTGAAAGAACAGTCGTCTCTTGAGCTTAAAGCTGCAAAGCTTGTCGATCACAATCAAGAGCTGCTGTTAAGGGTGAAGTCTCTCGAGCAACAAAACCTATTGACCGAGAACAAGAGAATTCGCTTGTCTGTGGACTTGGCTGGCGCGACTGGGGAACATGAGCTCTTACTGCAACAAAATAAGACAATATCTAAATTGCCACTGAAAGATGCAAAAACAGACCAACCTAGTATAGATGGACAGAGGATTCGAGAACTGGAACAGCTAGTTCAGAGACTGAAGGAAGAAAATGATTTGCTTAAAAAGCCAGGATCAATACAGAACTCTTCTCCAAAAAGAATCATCTCTGAATCCATCACGGAGAAGACACCAATCGAAAAGTCAGATATTCCAACGATTTCTGTAGAGAAGACTGAAAAGGAAGATGACAGAAAGGAAGAAGTGTCATACCGAGTGATTCCAATCGTCAAAAGAAAGCCTCTTCAACCAAGCCAGTTGAACAACGTTCCTCCATCCGCCAATAACGGAGTCAAGATTACGAAAAAAGTGCCAACTATTGCAGAAGGAAAGGAAAACAATGTTGTCTCATCATTGAGATAGTTATTGTGCATTTATGTTGAATACGTTGATCTAGTTGAAAATAAATTAAGGAGCTGTAGTAGATTCCAGGTACTCTTTGATCTTTACCTTCGATATCTGCAAAATCTTGTGAAGGTTCTCTCGTCCATTTGCGTCACAAATGTCATATCTAGTACCAAATGTTTGTTGATTTCTTACCATTGGTTTGTGTGGATCCTTAAAGTACGAGTTGGAGTCTCTGTAAACTAGCGAAATCCAGTCATCACTATACCAATTTTTGAAAACATATGGGTAGAAGTATCCAAAAATATGATGATGTGTTCGATGCACGAATGCTTGTGTAAAGATGCTTCTGTTTCCTTCATCTGTTGGTCCCGTAACACCAAAGTTCTTTCTGAAAGGATTATTCTCCAATCGTTCAACTAACATTCCTGTCCATCCTGGAGTAATGAATCTAACGTCATCATTAAGTTGATAGAAATAGTCAGCACCATCGTCAATGGCATGTTGGAAAACAGTATTCCACAACATTGGAACCCATCCATGAGAATTAATAACTTTGATAATTTGGAAATGGAAATTATATCCTTCCATTTGACTCATAACCAAATTCTTGAATTGTTTTTGGTTTTCAGTGTTATCGTAAACAGGATCTCCACGATCAATGGCAACATAAAGCTTGTACACATATTTGTCACCTTCTGGTGTTCCTTTTCGTTCAATTGTTTCTTTCAAACTAGGAAGAAATACTTTAAAGAGAGGATTTTCGTTGACACTCTTATGACCCTTAGATGTTGTTGGTACACCAAGTGCAACGTGAATTCGCTTGTCGTCGTTTTGCTTAATAAGTCCAGTGTCATCCTTTTGTGGAGTAAATGCAACCCAAGATTTAATTGGAAATCCTGGTAGTTGTGAAGGAGAAAGAAGCATATCTTCTCTATTGATGATATAACAAGCACTATCCAATGGAGCGTCCGCTGAAATTGCGTGTGTGATAGTTGCTAAATCTTGACAATGCATTGCATGCTTCAAATCGTCAGACAAGCTGTCAAACTTTTCTGGATCCAAATCTTTTAAGTGTGAGGGAGCACATTTTGCCCTAGAACATTCATAAAGTGGAATATAAAGGTTCTTGTATGCATAGGAGTTATAGGTAATACCATGAAAAACCACATCAAAAGACTTGACAGCTTCAAGGCCCTTATCTTTAGGAAGAGGTGAATGACATTTTGGTGATGCAAAAAAGCTTCCATATCTTTCCAAGTAGGCGTCTATTTTATCCAACTCGAGCCTTCTCGTTAAATAATGTCCTGTTTGAATGTATACAAACTTTCCTAATCGTTCAGCACTGTGTTTGAAAATAACAGGTTTGTAATATTCGGGATTGATTTTCTCAGGTCGATCAATGTTTGTTGTGGCTTGATATAGTTCTCTGACATCCCAATATTCGACATTTTTCCAAAGATATATTTCATTCCGAGTAGGCTCATCAAGATCTACACCATATACATAAATCAATAATTCCGCTTCGTGATAACGATGTATTGTTCCTACCAATGTTCTAATTTGTTTATGAACATTGCCTCCGGTATCAATCAATACAATAGAAAAATGTTTTAATACTTTACATGAATGAGCATATTGTTTCAGCTCATCCAATTCGACCTTTGAAATGGTAACTGTGTCCGATGTTGATTCAACAACTGATTTCCCATTCATTTTCCACTTGGATATTAAATGATGGATATTCATTGCTACTCCTGCCAACAACAAGACACAAATCACCAAACCGCCCCATCGCAGCAGTTGATGCGAATTCATTTTTTTGTTCTTGTTTGGTCTTGTCGATGATGATGACGACCACGACATCTTCTCACAATTGAACTCAAACCCCACTCGTTATCCAGTAAGTGTTGGGTTTGGAGAGAAGAAGGTTTGAAGGCTTTCATTGGGTTTAAATTGGGTTTACATTGGGTTTGTATGAGGTGTACATGATTTGGTTCATGAGAAAGTGGGGTTTGTATTCTGTTCTGAAAGCAATGGAAGTCTCCATTCGAATTTACAGGTTGTAGGTTGTAAACTCAAAGAAAAATTATTTCTATTTGAATAATCAAATCACACCCAACGTCGTTCGAATTTAATTTTTGAATGATGAAAAAACAAAATTCTGTCGGAGGAGGTATTATCGGAAATTCAAACAACAATGCATCATCATCACATCACGGAATTGATGTGCTCATGCTAGGCTTGCAAGGAAGCGGAAAGAGTTTCCTTATAAAACAAATGAAAAGTAGGTATAGGAGAAAGAATCGGGATGATGAAATAATAACTGATTTCAATGATGATGAAGATTATTTGCAAAATAATGACTATTTAACCTTTTATGATGGATTACCGACCAACGGAGTCAATTTAGATGAGCTCATCATCGGAGGAAAGAAAAAATCAAAAAAGATTAAATTAAGGGAAGTCGGTGGTGGAATCATACTCACTTGGCACAGGTATTTGGATGAATGTAAAGTGGTTGTGGTATGTTGCTCGTTGTTGGGATGTCTGTGTTAATTTCAATTTCAATTCGTGTGTACTAGTTTGTTATTGACAGCTCTTGTACGATTCAACTCTCATCCTCTTGCATAGAACTTTTAAATCTTTTGTCCATTCACGGAGAACACAAACCATTTATCGTGGTTTTAAATAAGAGGTAAGAAGCTTCGTAGTGTGGTGAACAATAGGCAGAGACCATTGATTAATCAATGATTCATAGAGATGCACCAAGCGTGTTCAGCTCAGAAATTTTCCAACACTTCATCAAATGGAATAATGTTAAGGAAAATTGTAAGCATATCGAGCTTATCGAAGTGAGTGCTCTCACAGGACAAAACCTTCATCGTCTCATTGAGTCCATGGACATTTTAATTGGATGAGAATTGGACCCTTTGTTCTTGTCTTGATTCATTACGAGTTGTCAATATCTACTCATATTGGTAACGTTGAGAATTATTCCAAAATTTGTTGAAACCATCGACCCATGCATGG